AGACATATTCTCCAGACCCTTCACCAGTTTTGTGGCCCTTCTCTGGACACGCTCCAGGACCTCAATGTCTTTCTTGTAGTGAGGGGCCCAAAACTGAACACAGTACTCGAGGTGCGGCCTCACCAGTGCTTATGATTCCTCATAGGAATCTAGGCATGGAGGCTGTAGCATTTTTAGGTGTTAAGTTATAAATAGTAGCTGTTTTGGTGATTAGAGACCCCATGATATTCAGTACGATTTTGTCCTGCTGCAATCCTGGAGGTCCTGGGGACCCTGGGAACCATATCCGTTAGTGATTTACCTTAGTGTCAGGTTAACATTTAGAAGCTAATTTGGCTGTGGCAGGCAACAGCATTTTTCCCCAATTTTCTGCCTTGTCTCCCTTCAGGAGGTTATCATCTCCGTAGCAGAGTTCATCGGTCTGATATTCATGTACATCATTGCCATTTTCAATTTACATGTATAAACCAGGCTGCAAATAATTCAAGAGCAGATATGCGTGTGCTAAATAATCTCTGGTACAGGGGCAGCAACTTCCGTGAGAGGGTGGGAACCTGCAGCTGTAAGCAAGCTCTGACTGTAAGGCCGGCGGTGTCTGTCTGAGGTGTTGCAGCTCCATTCTCCTGCAAACAGGGACTTCCAACCTCATTTCTTTACTGCAGCAGGGCTTCCAGGAGCCTGATTGTACATAATGTTAGTGAATGACAATGACTGCTCAATTCAAACAGTATTACCGTAATTTTGCCTACTGCCAAATAGTTTAATGTTGATTAATTAGATGTTTACTAGCTGTGAAGTCCTACAGTCTGGTCTTTTGATGGGAGACTTAGCAAATTGTGGAGGCACCTCCGAGTGACTTCATAGGGCTAGTGAAGCTTTTCTCATGAAGTGGAACTAACACCTTTCTGCTTTGCCTCATATTGACTGCACTTATTTTTTAATTTGGTATTAGGAGTTCAGAAGAATGTAACATTAACTTTACTAGTGAGACCCTGAAAATGTCAGGTTCTGCAGCGAAGGCCTCTGCTATGTTGTCTGACCAAACCTGTGTAGCCTTGACCCTTTGTTCTTTTGACTCAGTGGGACATTTTCTTTAGAAAAGTGGAAGTGGGTGCATACATTGTATTTATCACCCCAAGGGAAATAGCTGAACAATATTGTGAAGGACTCCTAGCCTCGTTCCTCTTTGGAGAAGGGAAGGAATTAATTTTTATTCAGACAGTTGGAATATGGGTCAAATAAACTATAGTTAATTGCATTAACATGTAAATGAGTATCACAGTAACTCCATAAAAACCTGAACCAGAATAGAGTGGCATTGCTACTCTCTAATACATGTACATTTGTGGTGCAAACCAAGCAGCTGCATAACCATAGCAGGGAAAATCTGGTGGCAAGGACTTCAACATCGCCATAATAATTCACTTGGCAACGTGAATTATGATTAAGTCTGTAATGCCTGTGCCTTGTTCCTATTAAAACCTGTGCTACCAGGTTAAAGCTACCCTGGATTTGCCCACATACGCTACTGCAATGTAGACATGTCATTGGAGCCTGACACTGCATTGCAGTCATTTAGGGGGACATGATAATGTGAAAACTTCTAATCTTGCTCCAGCTGTTGTTTCCAAGTCTTGTGCAAAAGTTGTCACTACCTTGGTGGTGCAAATGGGAAGGTTGTAAAGTGATTTTAAAAAAAAGGTTTTAAACCCAATTGTTTTGCTGATGTATTTTAACACATCTGCCCAAACCTGTTTTCAGCTCAGTGAGGAGCCAGAAAACTATGAGGGAGAAAAGGGATAAGTTGTTAAGAGAAGTCAGGAACCTATTCAGCTGGATAAATTGTTTTGTAAAGCTACCTTCTGAGGAGAAGCAAACATGAGGATAAAGTAATTGCCAGCTTTGTACAACAATCTGCTGATAAAGCAGATGATGCTCTTGAATATATAGTAGGCAGGAGATGACATATTTAGGAAAACATAAAGATATGAGTCCACAGCTGGTATAAACTGGTATGAATGTATTACACATGTAGGGCCAAGCGTATTCACAGGGTTTGAAGATCTGACACTACTTCAGAGGGAGGAATTCTACTTAAAAGGGGGAGTCACAGAGAAGAAGGCAAGCCATTCTGATAAATTGACTTTTTTCATCCAAAACCTGTGGTGAAGATTGTAGAAACTGTGGGAAACACCACAGTCATTCTGAAGAGTGATTTGTGATCATGTATTTAAATAGTGTGTTGTTATTCTCTCTATTAAGAGCAGGGTGAGAGCTCTATGTCCATCCCTGATGTGATGATGTGAACACTGGAGCATTCTGTCATCTTGACTGGACTGAATCTTTGTCCCACTAGAATTATCTGAATGCTGCAACCGCTAGTCTAGGAGATACCCCAGGAGGTGCATTGCCCGCTGTATTTAATGAAAAATTGATCCTAAATCTGTCTTTCACTTACTGAGATTCTTTTACTTTTCACTTCTGAGATTGTACTTAAAAAAAGAAAATCATGGTAATTGGATTTTAGTGGTTTGTTTGCTTGGATCTTCTGTGGCATCTTTTATCTAATGCAGATGGTAGTTTTCTCTAGGTGGAAATTTGTGTGCACAATGGCACAGCGTCAGCAATGTCCCAGGGTTATGCCAAGGGGAAAATGGAACTGAATTTTCTGAAATAAGTGGGGAGACATTTCATTATAGGTCATTTACCACCTCCTCCTTCACACCCCTGAAGTGGCAAGTTAACAGCTATGGGAGTTGGATGGAATGGAACTGCTGCACGCTGTTACGTGGCTGCTTTTCCTGCTAGTGGTTTTGGCATCACTCTTGGCAAAATGAATTCTTCTGTGACAATAACTCTGCGATGGGGGCTGCTGGTGAGTGTTGTCATACAGAGATGGCCCAGCCTAACTGTCTAGGGGCAAAACTTTTAACTTCAAAGGAATGACAGCAGTGTGGCAGCTTCTAGCAGGTTACTGGTTACTGCTGTAGTTACTCAAACCCAGCATTAACTACAAGAAGCAGTCCTGCCTTCTGCTTTCCCTATTGCTGTCCATCCTCACAACAAACATAACTGCCTCTGAATGAGGTCAGAGAACTGATCTCACTGGGAACCGTCTGAGCAGCTTCTCAGTGAGTCTTCTAACACACCTACAGAAACATTTGTGTCAGTACGGGAGGAATGGGGAGGCACAAAGTCCTCTGGGACAGTGAGACTGCTCTCCCTCGCTCTCAGGACCAGCCTGGTGTTATCAAACTACAACTTTGAGGTGCAGTTTCCCAAGAGACTCAAGCCAACTTGAGTATGTGTTGCTATCAAAAGAGACATTCTTTGTGCTCACAACTTTTGTGTGTATTCTCACCTCTTCCAGTTCCTGCAGCTTGTGGAGATCCAAGTGAGCTTTCTTTCTGATTGCTCACCAAACCCACAAAAAGTGGTTTTGGTTGGGATCAGCCCTCTAGTCTGACTAACCAGAGTCGTGCAATTGCTAATGATGGCACAAAGGCAGCAGCAAGTTTGTGTGGCTACAGATGGGGAGAAGGGCTGGACTGGCACTATCTAGCTTGGCTTCTCTTGCAATTGAAATTTCTCTTGCAATTGAAATCTCTTGCGAAATTGCTGCTTAAGAGAAATAAGCTAACTATTTTCTCATGGCAGCGACAGGTATTTTGTACGGCAAAGAAAAGGGGGATTAATTATTGAGGTGGTCCAGTTCCAAGGACATTGCTTGTCCTAAGTGCTGCTCCAGATGTCGAATAAAAAACCCGTCACTGACATTGGCTTCTAAAGCAGTTCCTATTCATCCTGTATCCGCTGTAGCAGGAATACCCT